GTATTTGCTCTCCGATTGTCGGAAGGAAAAACGTTCCGCATTTTAGGTTGCGTCAGTGATACATTTGGTTTTTAATGGACAATATCTACAGTAAGCTGTAGATATTTAAGTAATAAATTGTGATTGGGCTTACAGAATTTTACTGATAGAAAACAAACTCAATTATTAATATTGCACATGATTCGTCGCAAGTATTAATTTATAATACTGTTTACACAGCAACTGTATGTAAGGACTCCGGTAAGGAATATTGGAAACATAACTACTAAAGTGTACATTGTAAACTGTTCATGGACATTTATTTACTACTTCTGGTTTTAATGTTTTAATTCAACCCCTCATTTTGTAGACATTTTTATTCTCTACGAATCATTTCGTTGGGCATTCCGATTAATCTATTATTATATAATATTATAAACAAAAAGACAAAAATCGCATCGCATTGAATTTTCGGCAATAAATTGTTAATAACCAACATTTGGACCAGAAATGCGAGTGGAAAACAAATCCCTATTAATCTGATTATTATCTTTTATATAATCGCACAATTAGTTTGCTACTAGTCTTTTTGTCACGTTAAAGCATTTTTAAATATCATGTTAGTTCGGTTTAAATGGTCGGAGTCGGATCGGATAGATGTGTCCCGGCCTTAATGCACACCATACGGTCACTTTTTCAGGGTGCAAAAACCTTTCTGCGATCACATGAAGATTTTGAGAGCCCATATACGGCTGTTCTGTTTATTCACGTAAGCACTGAGCCAAAAATGAGCCTCATCGCTGAAGAAAATTCGGTTCGAAAAATCTTGAGTCAGTTGGACTTTGTACGGGTGGAGCTTCAAATCCAATTGCAAATTGCGCCACAATGAGCCCTAAGACAAGCCCAAATGTTGAGCACGTCGGGGAATCGACGAATTTGGGTCTTCCTCCACACTTTGAGCAACAACAGCAATATTTTCAGCTGAACGAATGTTGGGATGATGCACAGGTCTTAGAATAGATACAGTAACCGATCCCGTCTCTTCAAATTTTTCCACTGTGTTCGAAATTGGTTGCTCTGTGGATCGTTTATGTCGACCGTAATTTGCTCGTAAAGCCCTAAACGTTGATACAGCAGAATCACCAACGTTGATACAGCAATAATTTTCACGCGGTCTTCGACAGTTAAACGATCCATATTCTAAAATGGCAAACCTGCAACTAAAACAAAAACGCTTCAGATGACGTGTAGCTTTGACAGAAATTAAATCGCAAGGTTTTACTTTCCCAACCTCGAATTGGATAACCCGTTTTATGTGATATACATGGTGGTTTTTTTTTTTATCTTGAAACGCTTAAATATTTTGAAAACGAGTGGAGTGATCCGAGGAAAAAACGTTTCAAATAAGAAGTTAATATCTGAGAGGGGGAAATTTATTCGTGTCAGAAAAACAACGCCTACTTCGACCTTGTAGGCTAGGGAGAGGCCAGCTTGAGAATTTCAAATGGAAACTGCAACATTTTATTAGAGATTCGAATAGTACGTCAAAAACTGAGAATAATCTATCCAAAACCTTTTCTTCTATTTTGACAGGTGGCGCAGCAATTCATCAATTATCAATTTTTTTGCTTTAGACCTGCTAAACTATCTATTATTTAACTGAAACGCTGAAAATGTTGGTGTGACCAATAGCATCTATTAATGTCAGAGAAATATTCGGTCCGAAAATTGTTTGATGATGATAATCAAATATGTACCTTCAAATCAACAAAACATCTATTTGTTTATTAAAAGTATAGCATTAATAGTTTGAAAATTCGCATTGCCATTACGTGACATTTCGAAATTTATTTTGAATATGAAGCTGTCAGTCATCTAAAATTTCTCTCAACTCAATGTAAGAACGCTGATAAAAGCGTAGAAATTTCAAATTGTTGACTTTGGCATTTATTAATTTCGCTCTGAGTTAGAACTACTATTTGAATTTGATTTAAATAAGCTACTATAATTTTTAATATGGGCGCGACATTAACTGTGCAAGAAAAAAATTAAATTATTTTTGTATACGGAGAAGCAGGCCGATATACTTTCAATAAACAAATAGATGTTTTGTTGATTTAGATGTACATATTTGATTTGCATCATCAAACAATTTTCGGGCAGAATATTCCTCTGACATTAATAGATACGATTGGTCGCACTAAAATTTTAACCGTTTCAATAAAATAATAGTTCAGCAGATCTAAAGCAAAAAAAAAGATAATTGCCTGCCTAGCCTACAATATCGAAGTAGGCGTTGTTTTTCTGACACGAATAAACTTCCCCTTCCCAGATATTAACTTCTTATTTGAAAAATTTTTTTCTAGGATCACTCGTTTCCGAAATATTTAAGCGTTTCAAGATTTTAAAAAAACCACCATTTAGATTTATAATTTTTCAAGATTGAAAAAAAAACACGCCTTAAGCCTAGTTCTCATAAGCGAATTTTCGGAAAAAAATTCCGAATATACGGACGATTTGAGAGGTGTTGGAAAAAGTTGAAATTACTCCAACTTTTTCCGATTATTCGGAAATTCGGAGGGATTTTATAAGTTATGTAAATTCAACGTAATGCTATTACTAAAGCTCGGATTAAAAGCAAATTGACTTTTTTGGCCTATTTTGCTTATTTAAAACGTTTATTGCACGTTTTGCCTTTTTCGGAAATTTTGGTAAAGTTTTGCCTTTTTTCAAGATTTTCGGCTACGTGTACTACCATTTATAACTTATAACAATGATTTTTCTATTAGTAGGCACCGCTCATCCGAAATTACTTTATTACTCTTCCCTGGTAGACACCGAATATAAAGCTTCAGTCAAAATTTTGTCAGGTCGATGTTAGCACTAAGGATCCATAGATTAAGTAACAGTAAGAAGTTTGTAAACTTAGCTGAAATAAATATGTTCCAAAGCAAAGTTTTGTCAGTTGTTCAGTTACTTTGTTCTCTTTTACATAAAAGCAAGTGGTGTGAATTCTAGTTTTAAAACAATTTCGGAATTTTTTTTATTATAATGCCTAAAAATATGTGCACTAAGATAAGTGTATGAATTCGACCACACTCGAGCCTTTCCCTAGAAGGAGATGGAGTGTTTTGCAAACCTTGCGGCAAACCGGTAAATTTCATTTACATTTTTTCAAAGTGAAATTTCTAATTATTATTTTGGTTAATGTCCAGATTTCATGTACTAAAAAGTACTTTATTGATCATCATTGTGGAACGCCTCTTCATAAAAGGAATACTGAAAAGAATAACTCGACTAGATTGTTTCAAACTCCTCTGAGATAAAGTTTAGGCTGTTTTAGGAAGATAATTTTAGATTTGAATTATGTCAGATGATGGTCGCAACTAACATTCCTTTAAATAAAGTTAATCATACTAGTTTTAAAGCTTTTTTCAGAAAGAATTTTAATAAATCTGTACCGGATGGGAGTACATTGAGAAAATTAACTTTAGACAAATGTCATATTGAATGCATTTGAAAAATTAATGCAGCATTGGTAGCATATTGGAATACTTAAGCATTCAAAAGGAAAAATTACGATCTTTGCCTCAAATTACGAAAATTTTTGATATCAAAAAAGTTCTCTTCTACAATTTTTTGATGAAAAATAACAGCGGCAATGATGTTTCCTGTCATTAACAGATAGTTACAGGTGGATTACCCTTGTCAATAATAACAATAATTTGTCAAACTGTGACTTACTTTGAATTTCTTTTCACGAATTTGCTGATATGCGATTAGTTCAGGGGAAATGCTACAGTAACATAGCAGAAGCT